TTTCAGGGTTGGTGCCGTATGGCTTACGTGCCAGGGTTGGTGCCGTACTAGTACGAGTAAATTCTAGCAGCCTCAAATTAAGAAGGAAACAGCTGGTACGCCTAGATTTGAGAGAATGGGTTTCTATGGTCAGTGTGCGTGGTACAAAAAAAATCAGGGACCCAGTGGTGCATTGTGGGAGAGCCATTTTATTATACCTTGCTCACCATGTCTAGCGCTAAGAAACTCCCTACTCCTTGGCTAATTGGGGCTCTTTTGTTCCCAAGTGACAGTTCAAACACAGGTGGAAGTGTCAGTAAAGATGAATTTCATGGTTTTGAGGAGTTTGTGACTGAAAGCAATGCCCAGGAAACCTGAAGGAAGGAAGGAAGGTAGGAAGAAAGGGAGGAAGACAGGAAGGAAAGAAGAAAGGAAGAGATGAGAAGAAGGAAGGAAGGAAGGAGAAGGAAGGAAGGAGAAGGAAGGAAGGAAGGAGGAAGAGAAGGAAGGAAGGAAGGAAGGAAGGAAGGAAGGAAGGAAGGAAGGAAGGAGGGAGGGAAGGAGGGAGGGAAGGAGGGAGGGAAGGAGGGAGGGAGGGAGGGAGGAGGGAGGGAGGGAGGGAGGGAGGGAGGAAGGAAGGAAGGAAGGAAGGAAGGAAGGAAGGGAAGGGAAGGAAGGGAAGGAAGGGAAGGAAGGGAAGGAAGGAAGGAAGGAAGGAAGGAAGGAAGGAAGGAAGGAAGGAAGGAAGGAAGGAAGGAAGGGAGGGAGGGAGGGAGGGAGGGAGGGAGGGAGGGAGGGAGGGAGGGAGGGAAGGAGGGAAGGAGGGAAGGAGGGAGGGAAGGAAGGAGACCATCAACCTAGGATAACCCAAAAAATTCAGACAGTGACTTATTTCCATGTGGGTTGGTGGGGTGGGGAGGAAGTTGACAGGCAGTGAGGGTGGTGAGTGATGGTCTTATTTGTCATTGTGACACTAATTACACTGGTGACTCAGCATATTTACAAGTCCACCCCCACACAACAACTACGAGCTTTACAGAAGCTGTAGTGGTTCCAGGAAGTGTCCAGTGACTGTGTGTGTACATATGTGATAGAAAAATAGTAATAAACAACATTTTTTATTGTTGGTTTGTGTAAACATGTTTTGTAAACAATATAATGACTGTTTGTGTGGTTATTGTGTAGCATACAATGAGTGAATATACATTCAATATACCTTATATTGGTCTCACAGGCCATAAAATTACTTGAATGAAGAAAAAAAGGCAGGAAGAAGTAAGCAAGCAAGGAAGGAGGGAAGGCAGGTAGGTAGGACGAGATGAGAGGAAGGAAGGAGGGAAAATAGGTAGAAAGACATGAGAAAAAGGAAGGAAGGAAGGAGGGAAGGTAGGTAGGAAGAGATGAGAGGATGGAAGGAAGGAAAGAAGGAAGGAAAGAAGGAAGGTAGGTTTGTTGGGAGGAAGGAATGTGTTGTGGAAGGCAGTGAGGTTAGTGAGTGGTGGTATGATGCATCATTGTGACACAAGACACACCGGTGACTCAGCATATTTACAAGTCCACTCCACACAGCTACAAGTTTTCAGAACCTCTTGTAGTTATAGGAACCTGTCCAGTGACTCTATATATGTGTGTGTGTATATATATATATATATATATATATATATATATATATATATATATATATATATATATATATATATATATATGATAGAAAAATAGTAATAAACAACATTTTTTATTGTTGGTTTGTGTAAACATGTTTTGTAAACAATATAATGACAGCAAAGTTTGTGCTGTTATTGTGTAGTATACAATGAGTGAATATATACCAAATAGTCTTCATATTGGTCTCAGAGGCCATAAAGTTACTTGAAAAAATAAAATATTAAAAAATAAAAGAAAAAAAGAAAAAACAAAATAAACCATTACCGGGTACTGGTAGTTGGTGATGCTGCCATATGCAGTTCAATTTCTGTCAACTTCACGCCTCCATATCTCCGTAAGTACTGATCGCAATTTTTTTTTTTAGCCTGTAATACTTACAAAAAAAAAAAAAACTATCATTTCATAAGAAAAATAATTCTTTTTTTTTTTCCGAATATTTTTCGACCCTCAGAACAAGTTTGGGAGAGGGCCTGTCGACCCTAAAAGGGTTACACTTACCTTGGAGGAGATGTTAGTTTAATTAGTTAGTTTGATGGAGGAGATGCTGGAAGAGGTTAAGGGTGCTGTAAGATAGCAGGGCGGTGTATGTTGATTGGCCCGATACACATCCAACAACATTGGAGAGTTACTTTCGTGTCGTTTTTCTATTGCTTAACTTACTTGCTACACTGTTAATTCTACACTTTATCGCTGGCTGGCACTATAGCCTTTATCGATACATGCTGCTTTAGTATCGTACATATCGCAGAATCACTGAATCACTGCAGAAGGCACATTTTCCCCTCTCTCTTCCTCCTCCAATTTGGTACTTTGCTACAAGTTTTTTCTTGAATTCTATTGTGCTTCTTTCCTTCTTTACCACAGGGCTGGCACTAGAAGCTTTCTTTGGTCCCATGGTGGCTTATTTAGCAGTTACAATCGCTAAAAACAATGGAATATAAAATATATTGCATGTACATGTGGAATCGTCGTCCCTGGCTTGTAAACAATGGTACACTGGCTTTACATGGGCTCAGGCCGAGCAGACATGTTCAGGATGAATGTCCTTAACCAAGTTCTTGGGCATTAGTTGAGTCAATATTTTGAAGCAAAAACATGCCGCTATCCGATTTTGGCGTTGGCCAATGCCGTCGTTGCCCGAGGGTCCACTGTACTTTTGTATAGTATTTTTGGTTGTATTCTCATTTTCTTGGTCTCCTTTCATAAAATGGAAAACATATTAGAGAAATAGAGATGATTTTGATTAGTTTCACGATGAAAACGACTTGGAAATTGAGCTCAATGTAGCGGAAACGTTCGATTTTTACCAATGTTCAAGAGTAAGTAAATCACACCACACGTCCAATACACGTCAACTGGGGAGTCTAATACAGTGGACCCCTGGTTCGCGATGCTATCGGTATCCGATAAATCCGGTAACCGATGCATTACATCGCCAAAAATTTGCCTCGGTTCCCATTACAAAACCCGGTATGCGATGCGATTTGAACGAGACGTGTCCACGTGTGGCCTGAACTTCCCCGTGTGTACCAGTGTTTACAAGCCAGCCAGTGTGTGTGCATCTAAAGATACATTCGGTACATTCCATATTATCCATATTATCAATGTTTTTGGTGCTTGTTTCTGCAAAATAAGTCACCATGGGCCCCAAGACAGCTTCTAGTGCCAACCCTTCGAGACCAAGGTTGCTAATGACTATTGAAATGAAGAAAGAGATAATTGCAAAGTATGAAAGTGGAGTGCGTGTATCAGAGTTGATCAGGTTGTATAGTAAACCCCAATCAACCATCGCTACTATAGTGAGCAGGAAAACGGCAATCAAGGAAGCTGTTCTTGCAAAAGATGTAACTGTGATTACGAAACAGCGACCGCAAGTGTTAGAAAATGTTGAGAGACTGTTATTGGTGTGGATAAATGAAAAACAGATAGCAGGAGATAGCATCTCTCAAGCAATCATTTGTGAAAAGGATAGGCAGTTGCATGACGATTTGGTAAAGAAATTGCCTGCAACTAGTGGTGATGTGAGTGAATTTAGGGCCAGCAAAGGTTGGTTTGAAAGATTTAAGAATTGTAGTGGCATACATAGTGTGATTAGGCATGGTGAGGCTGCCAGTTCAGACCACAAAGCAGCTGAAAATTATGTGCATGAATTCAAGGAGTACATAGAGGCTGAAGGATTGAAACCTGAACAAGTGTTTAATTGTGACAGAACAGGCCTGTTTTGGAAGAAATTGCCAAGCAGGACCTACATTACTCAGGAGGAAAAGCTACCTCAAGTACTAATGAAGGGGGATTCCCCTTCTAAACAATAGGTTCAACACACTCCCCTCCTCCTATCCCATCAATCATCACGAGATCTTCATTAAAGGTAAGTGTCAATTATTCTATTGTTATTGTCGTTATTGTAATTATTCTATTGCATTAAACTTAATATTTCATGTGGTAAAAGTTTTTTTTATACTTTTGGGTGTCTTGCACGGATTAATTTGATTTCCATTATTTCTTATGGGGAAAATTGATTCGCTTTCCGATAATTTTGGTTTACGATGAGCTCTCAGGAACAGATTAATATCGCGAACTGGGGGTCCACTGTATTCTTTCACTAGTGCACTGATATTATTTATACCATTTTTACAATAATGCAGTAGTTTGCATAACAGTAAATCTTCTATTTTTTTTTTTTGTGAATAAAAAATCAAAATAGAAAGCAATAGTAATATAAGAGGGGCCTCGTGACATAACTAATGAACAGAGGATACATTATTTTAGTGCCAAGAATGTCTGAATTGTTCATTCTGGACTATTTTGAAACTGATATCTTTTTTAATTTGCATGAAATTGGCCAAATTACCAATTTCTGACCGCTTTATTGGGTAGTTGAAATCGGTAAATGAGCGGTTTCTTGTACTCAATTCATAGAAAGAAATAGCTACGAGTTTGGTTGACTGGAACAATGGAATTCGCCAAAAATAGGGCTCAAAGTCAGCGAAATCGCCAACGAGTATATATCACAGAGATCGCTAGCTTTGCAGGAGCATAAATCTGTACATTTTTTATAAAATTTTGTACTTTGGTGTCATTACCATCGGGAAAAGATTCTCAATCATTTCATAAGAAAAAAAATTTTTTTTTTTCTTCCCAAAATTTTGCATCACAGAATGACAGTTTCAGAAATAGGCTTGCAAGAGTCAAAGGGTAGTAGCCTGGAACCTAACCTACCATGTAAGTGGGGCCCTACTGTACTCACATTTCACAAATAACCCATACTTGGAGAGAAGAAATTTTAATGTCTGGTCTGTCTTGGACAGAAAATATTCACATAGTTATCAGAATACACCACAGCAGAGATAACTCACCTGTGTTTGTGGTCTGAGATTGCTTGGGAGGGGAAGTCGGAGCACAGGTCTTCCCCCAGCCCCTGTTGTGATCATAGAACCTTGGAGACCTTTCAAACCCTGAAGTCGCTGAAGAAGGGCTGCTGCTGCAGTGCCAGTGACTCCTTAGATTTAAGAAAATAAATTCAACTATAAATGCCGATCACACATTCACAACTAAATGGATGTATACTAAACCACTATGGAAACATAAAAACATTCAATATGACAAAAATAATCAAGACTTCCACGTTTCATATTCAGGTTAGGGTGTGTAGGAGAGGGAGATTACTTGCCAATAAAAGTAGGCCTTAGACAGGGATGTGTAATGTCACCATGGTTGTTTAATATATTTATAGATGGGGTTTTAAAAGAAGTACATGTTAATGCAAGGGTGTTGGGGAGAGGGGTGGGATTAAATTATAGGGAATCAAATACAAAATGGGAGTTGACACGATTACTTTTTGCTGATGATACTGTGCTTTAGGGAGATTCTGAGAGAAGTTGCAAAGGTTAGTGGACGAGTTTGCGAGGGTGTGTGAAGGAAGCTGAAAGTGAACACAGTTAAGAGTCAGGTGACGAGTGTATCGAACAAGTTAGGCAAAGAAAAACTGGATATCATATTGGAGAGAGGAAGTATAGAAGAAGTAATTTTTTTTTTTTTTAACAAGTCAGCTGTCTCCCACCGAGGCAGGGTGACCCAAAAAGAAAGAAAATCCCCAAAAAGAAAATACTTTCATCATCATTTAACTCTTTCACCTCACTCACACATAATCACTGTTTTTGCAGAGGTGCTCAGAACACAACAGCTTAGAAGCATATACGTATAAAGATACACAACTTATCCCTCCAAACTGTTAATATCCCAAACCCCTCCTTTAGAGTGCAGGCATTGTACTTCCCATTTCCAGGACTTAAGTCCGGCTATATAAAAATAACCGGTTTCCCTGAATTATTTTTATTTTATTAATCACACCGGCCGATTCCCACCAAGGCAGGGTGGCCCGAAAAAGAAAAACTTTCACCATCATTCACTCCATCACTGTCTTGCCAGAAGGGTGCTTTACACTACAGTTTTTAAACTGCAACATTAACAAACCCCCCCTTCAGAGTGCAGGCACTGTACTTCCATCTCCAGAACTCAAGTCCGGCCTGCCGGTTTTCCCGAATCCCTTCATAAATGTTACTTTGCTCACACCCCAACAGCACGTCAAGTATTAAAAACCCTTTGTCTCCATTCACTCCTATCAAACACGCTCACGCATGCCTTTCTGGAAGTCCAAGCCCCTTTGCACACAAAACCTCCCTTTACCCCTCCCTCCAACCCTCCTAGGCCGACCCCTACCCCGCCTTCCTTCCACTACAGACTGATACACTCTTGAAGTCATTCTGTTTCGCCCATTCTCTCTACATGTCCGAACCACCTCAACAACCCTCCTCAGCCCTCTGGACAACAGTTTTGGTAATCCCGCACCTCCTCCTAACTTCCAAACTACAATTCTCTGCATTATATTCACACCACACATTGCCTCAGACATGAATCTCCACTGCCTCCAGCCTTTCCTCGCTGCAACATTCATCACCACGCTTCACACCCATATAAGAGCGTTGGTAAAACTATACTCTCATACATTCCCCTCTTTGCCTCCAAGACAAAGTTCTTTGTCTCCACAGACCCCCTAAGTGCACCACTCACTCTTTTTCCCTCATCAATTCTATGATTCACCTCATCTTTCATAGACCCATCCGCTGACACGTCCACTCCCAAATATCTGAATACGTTCACCTCCTCCATACTCTCTCCCTCCAATCTGATATTCAATCTTTCATCACCTAATCTTTTTGTTATCCTCATAACCTTACTCTTTCCTGTATTCACCTTTAATTTTCTTCTTTTGCACACCCTACCAAATTCATCCACCAATCTCTGCAACTTCTCTTCAGAATCTCCCTGAATCCCTTCACTAAATATTACCCTGCTCACACTCCAACAGATCGTCAGGTCCCAAATACCATTTGTCTCCAATCACTCCTATTGAACACGCTCACGCACACCTGCTGGAAGTCCTAGCCCCTCGCCCACAAAACCTTCCTTACCCCTTCCTTCCAACCTTTTCGATGACAACCCCTACCCCGCCTTCCTTCCCCTACAGATTTAAATGCTCTCCATGTCATTCTACTTTGATCCATTCTCTCTAAATGACCAAACCACCTCAACAACCCCTCTTCAGCCCTCTGACTAATACAGTGGTCCCTCGTTTTTCATAATTAATCCGTTCCTGGAGCCGTTCCTATAAACGAAATTTACGATTTGCAAATCAATTTTCCCCATAAGAAATAATGTAAATACAATTAATCTGTTCCTGACACCCAGAAGTATTAAAACAAAAAAATTTTTTACATGAAATATACATATAGTACATAAACAATACAATGGGAAATGATGAATGAAACATTAACAGCATAACACTTACCTTTATTGGAGATTCTTCTTAGTGTATGGGAGACTGGAAGAGGAGAGAGATTGGATTGTTTACAGTTTGGAAGGGGAATCCCCTTCCAGCAACACCTCAGGTACCAATTGCTTCTCTTCTCTGTTTCTTAATGCCACTAGGACCACCTTGAGAGTCACTCTAGTCCTGACTCGCAAAGTATCTGTGGAGAGAGCTCTGTTTCTGGCGTCTCTTTAACACTTCCCGAAAATGGCCCAAGACTTTGTCACTGTACATATTTCTCGCCTTCTTTACCACAGGCTTGGCACTAGGAGCTTTCTTTGGAGCCATGGTAGCTTATTTAGTAATTGCAAGCACTAAAATGAGTGGAATATTATGAAATATTTCGTAGGAGCACTTGAGGGGACCTTCACTCACTGGTAAACAATGCCAGACTGGCTGGGTAGGGACGCCGCCCCGTCTCACACCGTGCGTACGCGTCCCAGACGAACTACTATTCGCGAGTCAACCTATGAAAAGCGAGTCCATGTTTATACGAAAATACCCCTATGATTAGTGAAATTTACGATTGCCGAGAACTACGAAAAGCGAGGGACTACTGTACTTTTATTAATTCCACACCTTCTCCTAATTTCCACACTCCGAATTTTCTGCATAATATTTACACCATACATTGCCCTTAGACAGGACATCTCCACTGCCTCCAACTGCCTCCTCACTGCTGCATTCACAACCCAAGTTTCAAACCCATATAAGAGTGTTGGTACTACTATACTTTCATACATTCCCTTCTTTGCCTCCATAGATAATGTTTTTGTCTCCACATATACCTCAATGCACCACTCACCTTTTTTCCATCATCAATTCTATGATTAACCTCATCCTTCATAAATCCATCCGCCAACACGTCAACTACCAAGTATCTGAAAACATTCACTTCTTCCATACTCCTCCTCCCCAATTTGATATCCAATTTTTCTTTATCTAAATCATTTGATACCCTCATCACCTTACTCTTTTCTATGTTCACTTTCAACTTTCTACCTTTACACACACTCCCAAACTCGTCCACTAACCTTTGCAATTTTTCTTTAGAATCTCCCAAAGCAACTGTGTCAATTCGCATTTTGTATTTGATTCCCCATAATTTAATCCCACCCCTCTCCCGAACACCCTAGCATTTACTTCTTTTAAAACCCCATCTATAAATATATTAAACAACCATGGTGACATTACACATCCCTGTCTAAGACCTACTTTTACTGGGAAGTAGTCTCCCTCTCTTCTACACACCCTAACCTGAGCCTCACTATCCTCATAAAAACTCTTTACAGCATTTAGTAACTTACCACCTATTCCATATACTTGCAACATCTGCCACATTGTTTCCTTATCCACTCTATCATATGCCTTTTCTAAATCCATAAATGCAATAAAAACTTCCCTACCTTTATCTAAATACTGTTCACATATATGCTTCAATGTAAACACTTGATCTACACATCTCCTACCCACTCTAAAACCTTCTTGCTCATCCTCAATCCTATATTCTGTCTTACCTCTAATTCTTTCAATTATAACCCTACCTTACACTTTTCCTGGTATACTCGGTAAACTTATTCCTCTGTAATTTTTACATCTCTTTTGTCCCCCTTCCCTTTATATAAAGGGACTATACATGCTCTCCGCTAATCTCTAGGTACTTTCCCCTCTTTCATACATTTGTTAAACAAAAATACCAACCACTCCAACACTATATCCCCCCTGCTTTTAAATTTTCTGTCATGATCCTGTCAGTTCCAGCTGCTTTACCCCTTTTCATTCTACGTAATGCCTCACGCACCTCCCCACACTCACAGCCTGTTCTTCTTCACTCCTAAAAGATGGTAAAAGATGGTATACCTCCCTGTCCAGTGCATGAAATTACCGCATCCCTTTCTTCGTCGGCATTTAAAAGTTCCTCAAAATATTCTCGCCATCTACCCAAAACCTCCATCTCCCCATCTACTAACTCTCCTACTCTGTTTTTAACTTACAAATCCATTTGTTCCCTAGGCTTTCTTAAGTTGTTTAACTCACTTTTGCACTCTATCACTGCTCTCTTCACTTTTTTTTTACTCTCCATATACTCTACTCTTTTTATAACACTTCTGCTTTGTAGAAACTTCTCATAAGCTAACTTTTTCTCTTTTATCACACCTTTACTTCATCATTCCACCAATCACTCCTCTTTCCTCTTGCACCCACTCTCCTATAACCACAAACTTCTGCCCCACATTCTAATACTGAATTTTTAAAACTATTCCAACCCTCTTCAACCCCCCCACTACTCATACTTGCACTAGCCCACCTTTCTGCTAATAGTTTCTTATATCTTACCAGAACTTCCTCCTCCCTTAGTTTATACACTCTCACCTCCCTCTTACATGTTGTTGCCATTTTCCTCTTTTCCCATCTACTTCTTACTCGAACTGTAGCTACAACTAAATAATGATCCGATATGTCAGTTGCCCCTCTATAAACGTGTACATCCTGGAGTCTACCCATCAACCTTTTATCCACCAATACATAATGAACAAACTACTTTCATTACGTGCTATATCATACCTTGTATATTTATTTATCCTCTTCTTCATAAAATATGTATTACTTATTACTAAACCTCTTTCTACACATAGCTCAATTAAATGTGTTTAGATATTTGGGAGTAGATATGTCAGCAGATGGGTTTATGGAGAAAGAGGTTAACACAGAATTGAAGGAAAAAATGTGAGTGGTGAAATAAGGTACAGGTCGGCCATCACTTATCTGGCAATCAGTTATCCGGTTCCATCAGTAATCCGGCACTAATTTCGGCTAGCATAATTTCAAATTTCATCATAATACTAACTTAAATCATTATACTGACTCAAATTTCATCATTATACTGACTCAGAAATTGTGCAGATGGTTGTAAATCCATAGCAGTGATGAAAATGAGGAAGATGTAGCAGAAAGAGTCTCTACTGATAGGTTAAGTAAGTGTATCCTAACCTAACCAGTCTGTAATCCAGCAAACTCACTAATCCGGCATACCACAGGTCTCAATGATACTGGATTAGTGATGGCCAACCTGTATCTGTGGAGACCAAAAAACGTTATCCATGGAATCAAAGAAGGCAATGTACGAGAGTATAGTGGTACCAACACTCTTATATGGGTGTGAAGTATGGGGTGTGAATGCTGCAGTGAGAAAGGGACTGGAGGCAGTGGAGATGTTGCATCTAAGGGCAATGTGTGGTGTAAATATTATGCAGAGAATTCGTAGTGTGGAGTTACTGAAAGCATTATTCAGAGGGTTGAAAGGGGTTATTGAGGTGGTTTGGTCATTTAGGTTTGGTCACTGAGTAGGTGGGAGGCAGTGGAGATGTCATGTCTGAGGGCAATGTGTGGTGTAAATATAATGCAGAGAATCTGTAGTTTGGAGATTTGGAGCAGGTGTGGGATTACCAAAACTATTATCCAGAGGTCTGAGGAGGGGTTACTGAGATGGTTTGGACATGAAGAGAGGATGCAACGAAACAGAATGACTTCTAGAGTATATAAATCTGTAGTGGAGGGAAGGCGGGTTTGGGGTCGGCCTAGGAAAGGTTGGAGGGAGGGGGTAAAGGAGGTTTTCTGTGCGAGGGGGTTGGACTTCGAGCAAGCATGCATGAGTGTGTTAGATAGGAGCAAATGGAGACAAATGGTTTTTAGGACTTGACGTACTGTTGGAGTGTAAGCAAGGTAACATTTACGAAGGGATTCAGGGAAACCAGCAGGCCGGACTTCATTCCTGGAGATGGGAAGTACAGTGCTGGCACTCTGAAGTAGGGGTGTTAATGTTGCAGTTTTACAACTGTAGTGTAAGTATGCTACTGGCAAGAGTGATGGAGTGAATGATAATGAAAATTTTTCTTTTTCGGGCCACCCTGTCTTGGTGGGAAACAGCCAATGTCTCTATATATTAAAAAAAAAAAAAAATAAATTGGTCATTTACAGAGGATGGAGGAAAATAGGCTGACTTGGAGGGTGTATAAATCTGTAGTGGAGGGGAGGAGGAGGTAGGGGTCATCCTAGGATAGGATGGATGGAGAGAGGTTTCGTAGGTTAGTGAGTGAGTGTGTTAGATAGGAGTCAATGGAGACGAATGGTCTTTGGGACCTGAAGAGCATTTTTTGTTTTCCGTCAGATTTCCTTCAGTTTTGGTGCACAAGACGAAGTATTTTCTCTAGTTACTGTAAATATTTGTCAATGAGATACCTCAAACAACAACTGAGAAAAGACTGAGAAAGGGCTGGTTTACTGGAAATGCCCTTTGGCAGGTTGGTAGTCCTATATGGGATGACTTAAGGTTGTTTGGACACTTGGTGCCGAGAGAACAATGCTAATACGAATTTTTGATGGTACAATTTCCTCTAAATATCTTATCTTTAATTCACAAAAAATTAAAGTTTGTTGGTTCTTGGAATGTTGCAAAAAATCTGCCCTTTACTCCCACATAAATTCCAAAATATTTGGAATATTTCCAAAAATGTACCATCAGAAATTAGAGAAATCATTATTTTACAATTTCTGTGAATATTATTCTACTTAATTAAGTAATAAAGGTGTAGTAAAGCAAAATAAGTGAATAAGTTACTTCCAAGATACTGGCCTGGAACGCTGGCCGGCCCGCCATCTTGAAATTTTTCTTTTTTTTCCGCGAAAATCGCATTTGTTTCGGTAGTTTCCTTAGTACACTGGTGTTCTACTGTAGTTATCCTCTTCAAAACACCATTTTCTATCACTGAAGGCCAAAGAATACGATGTGGAGTAACGATTTTGTATCGAATATTGCTGGTGGACTCTCGCCATATTATGGCCTATTTTATTCAGTCTACAGTATATAACATGTTTGTATGTTATGTATAGTGTTTATTATATCATATTAGATTAATTCTGATAGATAAATAAGCCGTAGAGCTGATACATATAAGCGTATCTCTCTGGAGCGGGAATACTGCCAGTGTTCCCAGATGGTTCCTGATTGGCTAGAAGTTTACGTATAAGCTCTGCCTACTTTTTTATGATGCCAAATAGTCACTTATTATAATAGATAGAATAATGCAAGAAAAAGTGATAAAAAAAAAGGAAAAAATTCCAAAAAATATATGGGCTGTGAGCAGACGCGCTACCCACACTGCTGTCACCGTATCTAATATAAATTACTATAATTTCTTGTAGAAACATCGTAGAACATTGATTACTGTACCACTGTGTTGCCAAAGAGTTAAGCTATTTTTTCTACATGAATAACTCAATTTCCATAATTTTTCAGTTTTTGTTTTAAAGCTCGCAAATAATTGGACGACTGTCTCCTTCAGGGAAACCGGTTAGCCAGACTTGAGTCCTGGAGGTGGGAAGCACAATGCCTGCACTTTATAGGAGGGGTTTGGGATATTGGCTGTTTGGAGTGACATCTAAACTGTCATATCTGGGCACCTCTGCAAAGACAGTGATATTGTGTGAATGATGGTCAAAGTATTTCTTTCTTGTTTGGGTTACCCTGCCTTGGTGGGAGATGGCCTATGTGTTGAAAAAAAAAACATTAGGCTTATTACTACAGGTTAAAAGAAAAACGTTTGCTTTTCTTTTTAGGTCATCCTGCTGGTGCATTAAAAAAAAAAAAAAAAAATTAGGTCTCTTCCTGGGGCATGGAGAAATGGAGAAGGATCCTTCCTCTGTAAGCCAAGCATTTCATAAGAGGAGACTAATATGCCGGGAATAAGTGACTAGAAAACCTTTCTCCTGTAAAATTGCTAAATGTAAAAAGAAGAAAATATTTATTTCTTTCTTTTTTTTTTTTTTAGGTCATCCTGCCTTGATGGGAGATGGCCAGAATGTTAAAAAAAACTTTTAGGTTTGCAAGAATAGCCTGGGTTATATAAACAATGTAATGTATGTATGTCCATAACTTGTGTGTGCCTTCCAGACAAATGTAAAACACACTGACCAAGAAATTTTATACTATTATACTTGTTTGACGATGTAATACTCTTGAAAACGTGTAATTAAGTCACAGTGCATGATTATATTGGGTTATCTATATCGTGTGCTTTATGGCTGAATTTCACTTTCAGTATTATGAAATTGTAATAAATTTGGAATAAGTCATCTTCCTGGCAGTTCCACACTGTGTTTACTGGTAAGGAACCTGACGGTGGAACAATGGATCCTTCTTTCATTGTTTAATTATGCTAATTAGGCAGTGTTACCCTTAATACACTGTATGGACCTGTCTGGTCGAGTTTTTTTTTCAATGGTATGAGAAGGTTGTAGGAGATCCAAACAATTGAGCTAAGGTAAAAAATATTGGCAGGGTGCATATCTGAAGGCACACAAAATTGTCCAAACTAGTACATCAGTCATCACCTGCACACTAGTATGTTGGAGATGAATACAAGGTTAAATCTTGTGTACACCCACAAATTATGTGTAGATCTGTCATCGACACTGATCCCAATGATGTAGATCTATATGATAATAGTTAAAGGGTCAGTGTGCTTGCTCTGTAAAGACAGGTCACCTAGCCTTCCCTTCCAGCCACCCAGCCAGCCATAAGCCCCCCCATCCCGAGTCTTTTTACTTACCTTGAGATAAAGTGGGATTTACTGGCTTGTGGACAGGTGCTGTGGTGAGCAGCAACTGGCCTGAAGATGTTTGAAGAAGCTGTAGCCCCCCCAAGACAGATGTTCCTGTGCTAGGTGCTCCTCCAACTGCTGCTGCTGTACTAGGTGTTGCTAATGTGGTTCGTTGTGGCATCACCAGACGTGGCCCTTGAGGAGTCTGCTGCACAACAATTCCTCCACTAGCTCCACTTACAGGTACTTGGATGGCTGAAATAAGATGCCCATATTCAACAAATAACAATCCCTGGTTCTTCTCACAAAAATAAACATTACAAATTTAAAAAATTAAACAAACCACTGGAGCTTTTTTGGTTTCAAAACTTTCTTAACCATTAAATGGTCCAAACGTATATATACATTTTTTCAACATTTGAAAGTATGTAAAAAAATTTAGATGTTCTTTCTTGCTTTACATTTAAAAATGTGTAAAAAAAAACTTTTATCTACATTTTTTTTGTTGTTATTTTTGAAAATATGTAAAAAAAACGTAGATCTACTTTTGGAGCACTACGGATTTGAACGATGATCTGTTTGGACCGTTTAAGGGTTAAACTTTAAATTTATATATTACAATGCCTCAATTCATAGCAATTTTTCAAAAGAAACAAAGCAAGTGATACACCCAATGAAAATTTACGCACTTTTCCAAATAACAAAAAGTAAATAAATTTACAATTATCAGCAGGCTTTTCCTTACAATCATAGTGAGTAACTGAATCAATCACACACCACCACACTCTAGTACCACCCCTTCCCCCAGCATATATAATTATACGAAACAAGAACTGCAGAATTGTTTGCATGCTGCACTAGTACCTCTGTACTAGCATGTGCAATATACAGACCTCAGTGGCAACATGCAGTCTCCATCAACTTTCCTAATGGAAAATGCGGACTCCCTTCTGCTACAACACAACTGTCAACCTATCATAATTGTTGGTGACCTCAACCAACACCTTATACAGAGGGATTTTGATGACATTCTTGCAGTATTTGACATGAGAAACTTTGTTGATTTCCCTAGTCACATCTTTGGCTCCTCCCCAGACCCAGTAGTGAGTGATCTGGTAGAAGGTACAGTCACTTGTCAAACCCTCAGCTGCGTTGGATCATCTGACCACAAGGCTGCTTTTACGACACTTAAGATCCCAACAGAATGAGATGAGGAGTCAACATGCACAACCTGGCTATGGGAAAGAGGTAATTGGCCAGCCCTTTGCTCTGAGCTCGCCACAACTGATTGGAATGCTCTTCTCCAAGGGGATGTTGACAACCAAGTGAACGCCTTCACTGGACACATCCTTAATCTACAACAAGAACACATCCCTCACCAGCAATATGTGATGAGAGGCTGCTACTGCTAAGTACAAGGCATGGCGAAGGTATAAGAGACATCCTACTATAGCATGAACTTGCACAGGCAAGCCTGTAGGCATATGGATGACGTTCAAAAGTGGAGCCACTGCTTAATGGGAGGTGGACACAAAAAGAAAGCTAGCATCAGGTAGAGTAGGCTCCAAAACCTGGTGGTCCCTGGTCAAGGACAGACAAGGTTACCTGCCTGATGAACTCATTCCACCAGAAATCAGCAACTACAGACCAGTATCACTCTTGTCAATCACTGGCAAGCTCCTCGAGACAATAATCTCAAGACAAATGACAGAGTTTTTTGACTACCACTCACTACTTTGTGATTGGAGGAGTCAGTTTCGTGCTGTCCTTTTTCTATCGATTAATCGCTTAACTTACTTGCGACATTGTTAATGCTACACTTCATCGCTGGCTGACACTATAGCCTTTATCAACTCCTGCAGCTTTAGTATCATATATATTGCAGAATCAGTGAAGAAAGCACATTATCCCCCCTCTCTCTCAGCCCTTTACCAAAGGGTTGGCTGGCACTAGGAACTTTCTTTGGGCCCATAGTGGCTTATTTAGCAGTTGCAAGCACTAAAAAGAATGGAATAATACAAAATGTATTGTATGAACGTGTGGGATCGTGCTCACTGGCTGATAAATAATGGCACACTGGGTGTCGGGCCACTGCTGCCGTGCGGATGCGTTCAGGACGAATGACTATTACTGAGCTCAATGACGATCACCGAGCCAATATTCTGACAAAAAGAAGTTACGATTCAAAAATATTACAAAATCCAACTACTATGATATCCATCCGGGGGTCCACTGTATAATGGTAGTGGGTTTGTGTCAACTATCTTCGGTACTGTTTTAATGTCACCTTTGCACTATTGATAACATTTCTGGTATATTTTTAAATGTTTATACAGTAGTGTACAGTATAATGCTATAAACAGAATAGTGGAAATCAGCTCTATTATACATTATTAAAGTATGTATACTGGTCAGAGAGCCCATCCTAAGTCCGAGTTGTTGGTAAACAAATACAATGCTAAGTGAGGAGAGGCTGTACAGTAATGTACACATTAATACTATATAATACAGGGTGGATAGGGGGGCAATGTGGCAGATGTTGAAGGTGTATGGTATAGGAGGTAGGTTACTGAAAGCAGTGAAGAGTTTTTATGAGGATAGTGAAGCTCAAGTTAGAGTATGTAGGAAAGAGGGAGATTATTTCCCAGTAAAAGTAGGCCTTAGACAAGGATGTGTGATGTCACAGTGGTTGTCCAATATATTTATAGATGGGGTTGTAAGAGAAGTAAATGCGAGGGCCTTGGCAAGAGGTGTGGAGTTAAAAGATAAAGAATCACACATAAAGTGGGAGTTGTCACAGTTGCTCTTTGCTAATGACACTGTGCTTTTGAGAGATTTTGAAGAGAAGTTGCAGAGGCTGGTGGATGAATTTGGTAGGGTATGTAAAAGAAGAAAATTAAAAGTGAATACAGGAAAGGTTATGAGGATAACAAAAAGATTAGGTGATGAAAGATTGAATATCAGATTGGAGGAGAGAGTATGGAGAGGTGAATGTATTCAGATATTTGGGAGTGGACGTGTCAGCGGATGGGTCTATGAAAGATGAGGTGAATCATAGAATTGATGAGGGGAAAAGGGTGAGTGGTGCACTTAGGAGTCTATGGAAACAAAAGAACTTTGTCCTTGGAAGCAAAGAGGGGAATGTATTAGAGTATAGTTTTACCAACACTCTTATATGGGTGTGAAGCATGGGTGATGAATGTTGCAGCGAGGAGAAGGCTGGAGGCAGTGGAGATGTCATGTCTGAGGGCAATGTGTCGTGTGAATATAATGCAGAGAATTCATAGTTCGGAAGTTAGGAGGTGTGGGATTGCCAAAACTGTTGTCCAGAGGGCTGAGGAAGGGTTGTTGAGGTGGTTCGGACATGTAGAGAGAATGGAGCGAAACAAAATGACTTCAAGAGTGTATCAGTCTGTACTGGAAGGAAGGCGGGGTAGGGGTCGGCCTAAGAAAGGTTGGAGGGAGGGGGTAATGGAGGTTTTGTGTGCGAGGGGGCTTGGACTTCAAGCAGGCATGCGTGATGTGTTTGATAGGAGTGAATGGAGACAAATGGTTTTTAATACTTGACGTGCTGTTGGAGTGTGAGCAAAGTAACATTTATGAAGGGATTCAGGGAAACCGGCAGGCCAGACTTGAGTCCTGGAGATGGGAAGTACAGTGCCTGCACTCTGAAGGAGGGGTGTTAATGTTGCATTTTAAAAACTGTAGTGTAAAGCACCCTTCTGGCAAGACAGTGATGGAGTGAATAATGGTGATAGTTTTTCTTTTGTGGGCCACCCTGCCTTGGTGGGAATCGGCCAGTGTGTTAATAAATAAATAACAGTCATACATGACTTATAAGAACAAAAGTAGTCATTGGCAGCAATACTTGGCATAGTTTAAAAACATATTAAAGAAATATCTTAGTGAGAATTATTAAGGATGAGAAGGATGTGCCTAAGATGCCCCACGGGAAGAGATGACCCCAGGGGAAAGATACCCCCTGGAGAATGATGCCCCCTGGGGCAAAAAGTCCTGTAAAGGGGCTATGATCTCTTATGCACCAACATCTGGAGATGAAGAATGAGCGTACGACAAACAACAGCTCAGCTTCACATGTCCATTACTAAGCAAGATTACAAACCGAACACGGATCAGATACACATGTCTCTATGGTGTCTGAGACCATTCACCTCCTGACGAGTCTCTGCTCAATTGTACACTCATGCGTTAGCCTGTGGGAACTGCAGTTTCCCCAGATCATTAAAAATTCAAAATAATTTGCCACAAGCTTACTGATACAGCTAGGGACATTATTCTCTCCAGATCTCATCTAAAACTGAAGGAAACAGTAATCCTTGATTGTAGCCAGTGGCAAATACTGGCATTGAAAGTCTGTAGACTACATGCCAGCAGAACATCCCTTGAAGGAATTGCAGTGGCTGGAAGGGCAGAATGAACTGAGTTTCTGGCAGTATAATATGTGATAAACTGGCGATGTCCCCTGAACACCCATGCCACCTTGCATTGAAACGCAGAAACATTTCATGGCTGATTTCAAGTGCATTTCCCGTATGCACTGACAATCTCCAGGAAGAACTGTACACTAGCGCCACACATCATTCCTTCCGTGAATTATTATGGACCTGTGCCTGCCTGAATATTTGTCAGGTGACGTGTGTCAAGCAGAGATTCGACAGTCAAGAACGAGACTGCTTTGATGAGTGAATGCATGTGTGTGTTTCATGTGGGCCATACTGCGTTGAAACGCAGATACACGTATATTTATGGCAGAGACATTCGTGGCCTATCTCGTGTGCATAGTTCGTGCCATGTCAATGTGCATGGTTTGTGCCATGCACATTGGGTGGAGCAAGTACCACAAGGGTGTTAGCTTCGTGTCACTCACCCATAGCCCAGCAAATGAAGAAGTGAGGCTTCCAGCATTGTCTCTTCTCACCTCTTCAATCAAGACATTGTTTTCAGCCTCAGTGACATCAAAAGCATCACAGGCTCCAGTTACATGAGCCAGATAGGTACTATTCTAGCTTACATCTGCAGTCTTACAGTACTGAAGTATCTAAGTGTTACAAAAAGAGAAATTTTATGTGTTGCAGGGTTACACAATTAAAGAGTGCAGATAACTACTGGGAGTTCTTGAAAGAATCCCTTTACATATTTAGCCTGTAATGGCTTTCTATTTCATAACAAGTAACTGGATCAAAGACAGGTCTAGATATCCTTTGGTAGAAATACCATCATTCTAGAGATTTGGG